GACAGTAAAATTTTATTGTCATTCTAACACCAGAGTTAAATTTTACTCTAATTCTCTTAAACAAAAAACAGAGCAATAGAACAAGAGTAAAATTTTACTCTCATTATCTGAAACAAAAAACAGAGCAATAGAACCAGAGTAAAATTTTACTCAAGTTCTGTCAAATGAAATAAGATCAAAAACAACAAAAATAAATAAAAAAAAACAAACAAATAAAAACAAAACAAATTAATCAACAAATCAACATATGTAATTGAGAAGAAAAATTTCTAAAACTCGATCAACAATCACAAATCTCAATGAAAATAATACATGTGTTCAACAACACTCATACACACAAATATATATATATATATATATATATACACATATATTTAAAACTCAAATATGTGTTTAAAAAAATATGTATAACCAAACAACTCCACCAAACATGCCTCAATTTAGAGACGATCTATTTCTCCTCGTAGACGATCTCCTTCGATTCCGGCACCGGAGGACAATTTTCCGGCCCGTAGTTGATTTCGTTCTCGATATTCTTGATGATTTCATCGTAGAGATCGGTTTCGGCATTGTTGATCATCGGAGTTTCGCCTGATAACTGACAGGACTTGGCTAGGAGAGTGATGACGATGACGTTGCTATCATCGCCGGAGAAAAAGAAGTTACCAAAATTGTCAAGAAACAGAGCTTCAGATCTGGAAGGGAATCATCATAGCCGTCGTTGCTATCATCGCCGAAGAAAAATCTGGAAGTTTTCGACGGTAATCTAATCATGTCACGCCTATCGACGGCGATCGAGGCAACGAGAAGGAGGAGGAGCACGTCGGCGGAGAACAAAGTCAGAAGGGAAAGAGGAAGGAGAGAGACAGAGAAGGTGGGGAGGAGAGAGTGGGTGGAGAAGGTGAGAAAATTTAGTTGAGGGTATAATAGTCTAATAAAATATTTAAATAATAAATTTTGTTCTTTATGCAAGACTTTATAATTATGAGGAGATTTAAAAGTATGATTTTTTTCTTAGTCCTTTTAATAATGAAAAGAAGATAAAGGGGGTTTATAGCCAAATTTTCCTATATAAAATAGAATTTGACTCTTATAAAGTCTCGTTTGGTAATATCACTTTTTAGTCTAAAAATAAAAAATATTAAAAAAATGAAAAAATCAACAACTTATACCAAAAAGTTAACAATTCTATTTTCTCTCTACTTTTTGCATATCTTTTCGTAAAAAATTAAAAAAAATATCTCAAATATAATAAAAAATTTTCATTTTATTTTAACAAAAAAGTCAAAAAATTATTAAAAAGCTTATTCCCAAAAAGTTACTTAAAAAATTCATTGTTTGGCAATAGACTTTTTTAGTTGATATTTTAGTTTTTTGGCTATTTAAAAAGTTTGTTTAGTTTGGTTTTTTAGTTTTTTTTTTTTTTTAAACTTTTGTGAGAAAAAAAATAAAATAATTATGATTTACATATTACATTTTATTTTTTGAAATTATTTAGCTTATTTTTGTTTTCTTTGTGTGCTTTTTAACTAAAAAGTTGTTTGCCAAACAAATAAACTTTAAGTTTGATCCTTAACTTGTTTAAATGATTTCTTAATTTGTTTCTAATCTGAATTACTTATTTAGAAAATATCAACAAAAAAAAAAATTCAAAAATTAACCTTTATAACAAAATAAAATTTTAATTTTAATTTTATCAAATTAAATTCTAATTAGTTTGTTTCCAATCTTGGCCATATTCACCTACTTCTAAGGTTGCAAATAAACAGAATCATTCATGAACAGATTTGAGCTCAGCTTGGTAAGGGTTAGTTTGAACTCAAACTCGTTAAAATCTTAATAAAAAAAAAATCCAAACATACAGCTCATTTAACATTTATTTAGATAAAATAAGTATATTACTTATATATATTAAATAATATATACATATGTATAAAAAATAAGATAAATACATTATTTATATAATTAAATAGTAGTCAATTATAGATAATACATTTATATAATAGTAGTGGTAGATATTATTACTTTTTAAAATGTTGACTGCTCTTTTAATCTATTTATATATAATTATATAATTAAAGTTTTAATTGTATTCATAACAAGTATGATTTTATAAATTTTTTTAACTCGTTAAGATTTGTGAATAAGATCGAACTCGAGTCAAGTCTAAACAAATTCGGCTGAGTTCAATTCATTATCTTAATAAACAAGTCCAAATATCTCGACTTGATTCGATTTGTTTGTAGCCCTATCAATTTCAGTTAAGTAAAATAGACAAAAAATAGTATTTTAATAATCAAACTCAATGTAGATATATATAAAATGTTTAAAATATCAAACTCAATGTAGATATATATAAAAGGTTTAAAATATTTTTTTTTGGATTAATTTTAATAATAGGATAAATTTTTTTAACTCGTTAAGATTTGTGAATAAGATCGAACTCGAGTCAAGTCTAAACAAATTCGGCTGAGTTCAATTCATTATCTTAATAAACAAGTCCAAATATCTCGACTTGATTCGATTTGTTTGTAGCCCTATCAATTTCAGTTAAGTAAAATAGACAAAAAATAGTATTTTAATAATCAAACTCAATGTAGATATATATAAAAGGTTTAAAATATTTTTTTTTTGGATTAATTTTAATAACTAGGATATAATTTTTCTGTTAGTTTTACTTAACAAAAATAGATAAATGATTAAAATTGAAAATAAATCAAAAAAATTAAATTTAAATTCAAATTAATAAAATTTAAAACTTAAAAATTATTTTATTATAAGAGTCAAACTCTATTTTTTTGGTTTTTGTAATTTCTCTTATTTGAATTCAATGAAATTGCATACAAATTCAAAAACATCCCCTAACTAAAACAATGTAATTAGCATAAATTGAAACATTTGTGAAAATGTAACCAAACGGCACAATTTGGTGTCGCAGCAATTCCTACGGTGCATTAAGGAAAAAAAAGGGTAAATTGGACTTTTTACATCATATCCCAACCAAGGGGATATGATATAATGGGGGGGTATTGTATATCCTCCACTTTTGGGGGATATACAATCCCACCGGATACTATATCCCCTTCAAAAAAAAATTGCAAACATGGGATATATGGACCCTACCGGATATAATATCCAATCTCAATCTTCATATCCCCCAATCAAACAGGGCCTAAGGGTATTGGGGGTCTTGGGGGTCACCCTAATGGGGTTCAGAGCATTTTTTCTTTTTTAAAAATAATTTATAAAATTTCAAATTTTATTTGGTTATATATTTTAAAAATAATTTTAGAATTTAGAATGATTTATTTATTTTTTTATTATTGAATAGATAGGTATGAAAGAAAAAATAATTCATAAGATATGAAAAAAAAAAGAAGTGATTAATTGATCATCGTTTGGCAAATGATGATTTTTGTTAAAAAGTCAAAAGATTACTAAAAAATCAACAATTTATATCAAAAATTCAAAAAAAAAAATCTCTCTATTTTTTGCATATTTTTTTGTAAAAAATTAAAAAATATTCCAAACATATTATTTTTTTATATGATATTTTAGTCAAAAAGTTACTAAAAAAGTTTGTTCCCAGACGAGGCCGTAATAAAAAAAAAGTGATTTAAATTTTTTTTTCAAAAATTTATAGCCAAACAATTTTTAAAATATTTTTCTTAAAAATTGTCTTTAAAAAAATAAATCAAACAAGACCATAATTTCATAGATAAAACAAAGGAAAATGTTATGAATAACAAATAATTTTACAGATATTTTATTAAATTTTTCATATGTGTGTAGAATTCATACAAATTCATATGAGAAAATGAATGGGAGCACTAATTAGTGCCACTAGTAATAATGTGACAGTGGGTCCCACCCACTGCCACAATGTTATTGTGTCTGTTTTTTTTTAAAAAAAAGTAAATGTCACATCATTAGTGGTTACTTTAGAGTACCACTTTTAGTGGTTTCCAGCATTGCCCAATTTATGTGTATGGTCCCACAACTATATAAAAGGTTTGATAAAATATTTAGGGGTTATTTGGGATAAAGTAAGAAAGATAAAAAGTCAAAAAATTATTTAAAAAGTTAAAAATCCTATACTATTCAAGGATAACTTGTAGGGGAAGCTATTAGTACAAAATTATTATTTTACCCTTTACATTCAAATATCTAAAAAGTCAAAAAGTTGAAAAATAAAATGATCATTTTAATTTTACTATAATATTTTATTACAAATATTTTCATAAAAAGTCAAAAATTATTCCAAACATATATATTTTTTTTTTCTCCACATTTTTTAACCAAAAAATTTAAAAATACAAGCACGTCTGAAATTGGCTTTTTGGCTTTTTTGGCTATTTTAGCCTGGGCTAAAAAGCTTGGTTTGGGAAGGATTTTTTGGCTTTTTGGCTTTTTTGGCTTTTTTTGTGAGAAAGGATTGTAATGATTATGGGTTGGATTTGATGTTTTGTTTTTTGTGGCTAAGGCTAAGTTTGGCAAGGGCTTTTTCAGGCTTTTTTGGCTGTTTTAGCCACAAAAAATAAAATAGGCTATTTTAGCCATAACAAACAAAACATCACATCCAACCTATAATCATTACATTCTTCTCTCACAAAAAAAGTCAAAAAAGCCAAAAAGCCAAAAAATCCTTCCCAAACCAAGCTTTTTAGCCCAGGCTAAAATAGCCAAAAAAGCCAAAAAGCCAAAAAGCCAACCCACTTCCCAAACGGAGGCTAAAATAGTCTATTTTGCTTTTTGTGACTATTTTAGCAAAAAAAGCATGGGCTTTTTCTTGCCAAACGGAGGCTTAATAGATTATTGGAATTCCTAACATTAGTATAAGACAAAATAAAGTTGAAAACAGGAAAATAAAAATAATATAATAATAGAAGCGAATATCGAGGTCCAAAGGTCCACAGGTGGGACCCACCTTGAAATCTGTTACACAGACGGCAGTTTCGCTTCTCCGGTGCGCAGGTTAATATTTTTAAAATGCGCCCCTCCTCTCTCTATCTCTCACTCTCTCTCTCTAAAAATAATAAATATTAAAAGATTTCTTTGTAATCTTTTGGGCGTGTGAATCCTTTGGCGAACCAGCAAAGTCTTCTCTTGCACACCTTTCAATCTCACATCCTGTATATGGAGATTTCAAGATTCTAGGGTTTGACAGCACACACAACTCGAACTAAAAGGTCTGTTCTTCGCTATTTCTCTACTTTTTTGTCTTGAAGATCTTTTTGTTATCCTCATAATCTCTACCTGGGTTTGCCTTCTTTGATCCATTTTCGCATATCCATTTGAATTTTATTTTCTGGGTACTCATCTATTTGGCTGATTAGCGCTTCGATTGATTGGAAATTCCTGAAATTTGTACATGGAAGCCCAATTTAGGAATTTGTTTTTATCAAAATGGTAGTTTGCTATTTGGGTTTTTTGTTCTATTTGTTTATGGATGATTGAAGATTCGCTGGATTAGTAGATTTAAGAGATCGTTGTGCTGTTCTTTGGTTTAGGTGTCTTGGTTCTGGGAACTAGGGTTTTCATTTTGGTTGGGTGAAATGGAGGAAGTTGAAGCAGCTAACAGAGCAGCTGTAGAATGTAGCCATAGAGTTCTTAGACTGTTATCTCAGCCCCAAGATCAGACTCAGTTTAGAAATTTAATGGTAGAAGCAGGGGAGGCTGTGTTTAGGTTCAAGAGAGTTGTTTCTCTTCTTAATACTGGATTAGGTCATGCAAGAGTAAGAAAGATCAACAAAATTCAAACCCCATTACCAAATCAACCAAAATCTCTTCAGCTTCTTCAGAGTAATTTCCATGAAAATCCAACTCAAGAAATGGGTTCACATGTTAAAAGTTCTGTGGGAAACCCATCGTTGGACTTGAATTCAAATGAGAAAAGCCCTCCTCAAGTTGCTCAACAAACACCGCAGACAAACTGCCACCATTTCTTCCAACAACAACAAAGGATCATGCTTCAGCAGCAAGCGGAAATGATGTATCGTCGGAGTAATAGCGGTATTAATCTGAATTTTGATAGCTCCACTTGTACGCCAACCATGTCATCCACTAGGTCTTTTATCTCTTCATTGAGTATGGATGGGAGTGTTGCTAATTTGGATGGGAATGCCTTCAATTTAATTGGGGCGGCCGGCTCTTCCGGTCAGAATTCTCACCAACACAAGCGAAGGTGCTTGGGAAAGGGAGATGATGGGAGCACAAAATGCGGGAGCAGTGGTAGATGCCACTGCTCAAAGAAGAGGTTAATTCTTATTTCATAACTTTTCTCTGAATTTATAGTGCTACTTAGCCATTAATAGCTTGGAATTGTTTCTTTTTCTTTCTATTATTATATCAACAGGAAGCATAGGGTAAAGAGATCAATCAAGGTGCCTGCTATCAGTAACAAGCTTGCAGATATCCCTCCCGATGATTATTCGTGGAGGAAGTATGGACAGAAGCCAATTAAGGGTTCTCCTCACCCAAGGTACATATCAATTTTCACTTCATTAGATGCAACTAGTTTGCCAGCAATGCTTACAGTTTCCATTGATGATTGTGACATTTTCTCAAACGAATTTCCATTTATAATTGTGATTTGTTTTGGCAAGAAAACACACTCGCACACACACAACTCTATAATATTCTTGCTTATTTCAAGTTGATATTATGGGGTGAGTGTTCAGGTACAAACTCATGCCATAATTGCTTTTGGGGTGTACTAGTTTTCATTTGAAACAATGTGGAAGTAGGCTCTATAAATACTATTTGGATCAAATTGGCATGTTGTGGCTTAGGCATTTAACAAAGTAGCTATTAGTGTTATTTATGGAAGTTTTACTTAGCACTCATGGTTCCTTTGATTGCTGACAAGTTGGAGTTAGAAACTTTGCAACCGTCATTAAAATTTCGATTCGTAATATTTCCAATTTTTGCTTCTCTTTTATTGGGTGCCAAGTTGAGAGTGAAGATGTGTTTATGCAAACTTCCAAGACTACCTTATCTTTGATTTGTTTGTGCCATCAATTCTTGACTGTTATGTTGATGATCCATATGCTTACATTCATGAAAAAAAGTACACAAATGATCCATATGCCTACATGCCTACATGTGTACTTTGTATCTTATACAATTATTGCATTTGTGAATTTCTGATTTAAAATTTTGAGGTTCTTAATTAAGAAGTCCTTATTGTTAATGTGTAGGGGATACTATAAGTGTAGCAGCATGCGAGGTTGCCCGGCAAGGAAGCACGTGGAAAGGTGCTTGGAAGACCCTTCGATGCTTATTGTAACTTATGAAGCAGAGCATAATCACCCAAGGTTATCACAATCGCTGAACACATGAAACCTAATGGATAGCCTCGTCAGGATTGCTTAATGCCTCCCATGTTCAATCCATCAGCACTCAATTTATGATTAGCTCGAATCGCTCCTGTACATATTTTTGCATGATTTAAGCTCGAGATGTATATGGAGCAAATTTCTGGGCCTTCTGGGGATGCAAGGAAAATAGATATGAAGCCCAGTGTCAAACAGAAGTGTTCTGTAGAATTGGAGTTTTTTGGTTGTAAGATCAATTTCGTCATTTATGACTCTCGCCAACAGTTTAGAGTCTTTTGCATGAATGCATTACTTTCGTTTTGGAAATTTTTGTTTTTATTGATAATATATCCTAGTTTTTTTTGGTGCTGGATTTTGATTTTTGTCACATTTTAACAATAGTAATTTAGAAAATTACACGGCAGCATATTGATACGAATGAATCCGAAACCAAATGGACCAAATGGAATGGAACTTGCAAGAAAAATAAAATAAAATAATTTAATGGAATGATAATGAAATATTAAAACTACTGTACATCTCGTTCTTTGTCTAGGTTGTTTGCCAGAAATCAAAAATAAATTAGGGGAATAGCTTAGGCTTGGTTTGGGAAGTGGGTTGATTTTTTGGCTTTTTAGTTGTTTTGGCTATCTTAATCTGGGTTAAAAAGCTTAGTTTAGAAAGAATTTTTTGACTTTTTTGGTAAGAGAAGAGTGTAATGATTATGGGTTGGATGTGATGTTTTATTTGTTGTGGTTAAAATAATTTATTTTATTTTTTGTAGTTAAAATAGTTAAAAAAGTCTCAAATCTTGCTTTCCAAACGGTGCCTTATGTTTAGTTTGTTGAGTTGGATGAATGGTTAGGGGTCATTTTATTTTTTTTTGTTTAGTTTTTGTTTTCTTGGTTGGGCATCTTTTTTAGCTAGAGGAAATATTTCATAGTTACTTTTCCTTGTATACTTTTATATTATATGCATGAGCTTTTGGGAAAGGTTTTTTTAGAATCAGTAATGATACAGAGCCCGAATATAAGGGCTCGAATTTGGCTCGAAATTAGGGGAAAAAAGGAAGAGGAGGAGAAGAACTCGACTGGAGGGGCCAACAAAATCAGGCGGAGGTGAAGGTGGAGGTGGAGGTAGAGGCAGAGGTGGAGGCGGAGGCGGGCGAAGGCAGAGGCGGAGGCGGGGTTGCGATGCCGACGAGCGACGAGGGACGAGCTGCGAGATCGGCCGACGAGCTGCGACGACGCCGACGACCTGCGTTCTCGCTCTCGCCTCTGTGTTCTCTCTCTCGCCTCTGTTCAACTCAATGAAAAAGAAGGAAGAAAAGGAAGAAAAGAAAAGGAAGAAAATGAAGAAAAAAAAAATCAAAACTCAAAACGACGTCATTTTGAATTTTAAGCCAAATTCGAACCCCTAATTTCGGGCCATCAAACATTATTCATTCCCAATACTTTCTGATGGAATCCATTGCATCACCGACCCATCAAAATTAATTTTATAAGCCTCCTTGCAAGGTCCATCGAATAGGTTGACACCAGGTGCAGGAACATTTGAAGCCATCACCACCTCTTTATATTCTTGTATATGTTCTTCGGCTACGTGAGTTGTCTCTGTGGCACCTCGACACACTATTAAAAATGAGAGAGTTCCGATCAGACCAAACAGCCCAGCAGATTGTAAAAAAATTCCATGGCACCCAAATCATTTAACTCCATTAGTCTACACACCCATTGGAACACATCCTTTATCGGCAAAATTTGTAAAACATACATTAAGGTTATGTTTGATTCACAAAATTAATAATGAAGTATTAATAATCCTATTAAATTAGTGGTAATCCCACCCCTACCCTAATAATCTTATAAATTTATTGAATTAATTATCTATTGGATTAATAATCCTAAACCAAAATGTTAAAATAAACATAAAATAATTGTACCAACGGATTAATAATTTCATACTCTAATCCATTCAATCAAACATGCCCTAAGGTGTTCATGGGTCAGTACAGGTCAAGTTTACCCTTGAACCATTATCTGAACCGATACCCTCGGGTGAAGAAATTGCTCATCCATTTTCGACTGATCTATCGATCGAAATCAATCGAACTAGATAACATGATTTAGCGGTTGGTTCGATCGATTTTGAAAATCCATGAGATGAAGACAGTTAGGGTATAAAAAAAAAAATCTATTCAAATATCACATTGATACATATATGATGATATATTGCATATACATACATATAAGTTAAAATAAAATCAACACAGATCTGTAAGATAAACGGCAAACTCATGACTTTTCTCGTCTATCTCCATCGTTACCACCTTCAACACAGATATGCGAGAGAAACGACAAACTCACAACCGTCATCGTCTATCGCCAACGCTACTGCCACTCATCTCACTGACATCGTCCGCAACATTGATGGGATCGAATTTTGAAAGGGATTTCTAATACGTAATCTACAAAAGAAGTGTCAAGCAATTTCACTGGAGGGTTGATTTAAGAGGAAGAGAACAGTAGAGGTAGAGATAAAAACAACAATGATTCATCCCATTAAAAATATCACCACTAATAACATTAATGCATTAAAAAAGTAAAAAAAAAAAAAAAAAAAAAAAAAAAACTCACAAATTAATCAAATATACATATTATTCAAAATTATATTTTACAAAGTAATAAGCAAAATAATCAAATTAAGAAAAATTATACAATGAAAATGATAAGTGCCACCTAACTACTGGCATTAGAATTTTAAAAAGTTCAGTATAAAATAATTTTGCATTTGTGTAAGCGGGTTATAGGTAAATTGATAAATTTTAAGTTTTGTTTGGTAAGATGATTGAAACTAAAAAGATAAAATAAGTTAAAAAGTTAATAAGATAAAATGTCACATTCAGACTATAATTATTTCATTTTTTTTTACAAAACTATAAAAAAAAGTCAAAATTTTATTTCAAACGAAACTTTTTGAACTATGCTAAAATAGTAAAAAAAACTAACAAATCAGATTAAAAAAATTCTTCCCAAGCGAAGGCTTAATCAATTTGCCAATGTTAATCCACACCAGTCTCAACAAATTTTGTGTTAAATTATAACTAAAAAGCTACTTTTCTATTTTAGCTAGTATTTTTGGTATATACACAGGATATTAGACCCTCTATTTTAAAATTAAATTTTGAAAAATATTTATTTTGTATTGTTAAAAAGTAGACAAAGTAGTATAGGAGAAGCTAATTTTGTATTGTTATATATGCGTAGTTTTTTATTTAAAAATAAATAAATTTGTGCCCAATAGCGATTGTCTGGCCGGACATCTAAAGTACATAAGTATATATCTATGCAATTTTATATTCCTAAAAAAATAAATATAAATAAATGTGCAACAACCGGTCGTTTGACAGGATGTGACGTCACCCTTATGAATAAATAATAAAACATTGTATAACCTGTAAATAGTATATCAGTATATGCAACGATGTCCTGTAACAAAATTAATCAAAAATTAGTTTAAGATAATTTGTTAAGACTAATACAATAAGAATTTTATAATTTATTAACTATATTTAACCAAAATCTATGTTTGTTGATACTGATGTGGTGCTCTAAGCCACTCAATGCAATTCAACTCAACTCAAGGCAATTGAACTCGTTTTTCTCAAACAATGCTAGCAGATTTGGATTGAACCAACCCAAATTCAGTGGAACAATGGAACCTCGGATCAACCCGAATCCGATGCGTGGCGTCGGTTTGGGGCTCCGATCCGAACAAGGTTTGGTTTGGTGCCTCTAAAACCCAAACCCCAGCTTCAGTTCCGAGAGATACAGAGAGAACAGAAACACACATCTCATGGCTTTTCTTTTCCAGAAATTTCAAGAGGTACTCTC